CCTGCACAGTTTCAGGGCAGAATTCTAGGCTCGGCCCACCTGGTGGACGCTCGGGAACGGCAGCTGTGTCCATCTGGCTCTCAGCGCGAAGGTTCTTGTCCTAGTGTCACCAGTGCGTCACCGGAGGGGAGTGGCCTCATGGGCAGGACGGTGGGGACCCTGGAAGGGAGGTGCGTCTAGTGGAGGCCAAAGAACATGCAGAGTCGAAACACATGGACAGAATTCCCATGTTTCATTTTTCCGGTCCCACAGAACTGCTAAATTGACGAATATGGTTAGTGTAGAAAAGTTGAAGTTAATGTTCCAGAGGATCATTGTCCTTTTCTTCTGTCACCCCGTTGTTCCCCAATGAACCTGGAAAAGGGAAATGTGGGAATGTCCTTCCTGCTTGCCGGCTCTTACTTTGTGCTTTTAGACATCGCTTGTTTCTTGGCGCAAGTAGCCTGGCTGGGACTCAGACTAAGCACGGCCACGCTGACCTGGGGCTTGTTTGAGCCTTCTATTCCCCCACACAGAGATCCAGGCAGCACCCTCAAGTCCAGAACTCTCCATTGACAATGTTGTCGCCTGTAGGGCAGGCGGTCCCGGTGGGGATGCTATTCTTGTTTGCTGGGGGTCTTTGCACACCGGCCGGAAACCTCGGACCCGCTCCAGGACTTCGGACAGCTGACCTCGTGCTTTGCTGTTTATTAAGAGGCAGATTGCTGGTTTAGAGCCTGCCCTCGAGAGGATGCAGTGGGCGTGTCCAGTGCAGGCCCTGTCCCTGCGGGAGTTCGGCGTAGTGACGTGTAGGTGGTGAAGCCCCGTTAATGTGATGAGTGGCGCAGGACGTAGGGAGCCGCCACTCACACCAAGTCGCCGAGGAAGTGCCGTCTCATTTCCACTGACCTCCGCTCTCTTCTCTCTCCTCTGCAGGGAAGGTCACGCCGGGCTGTAGCCGAGGACAGGCCGCGCGCAGCTCCCGCCCGGACCGTCCGCCACGTGACGTTTGAGGAATCCTGGAGTTGGTATGTCCATTCCAACGGACCTTAGCGATTTTGTTGAGGGAATTGAATTATTATCACTGAAAAAAAAGCAGGATGTGGGTAAACGTGGCTGGCCGGATTTAAAATGGGCGACTGAGTCATTTTCAACCAGTCACTTCGTCTGCCGTTTCGGATGTTTAGGTGTCCGCGTGTTGTCCCATCGTTTAGTTAATTGAACGTGATGTTAAGTTCACCTTGTCAATTATGCTGCTCTTATTCTCTTTAATCTCCTGATAGAGCTTGCATATGGGTCCAGATATTTCACAAACCAAGTCCAAGCGAAAACTTATCCAAAACCGTATTTCATGTCCTTAATTTTCTCGTTGTGCCGTTCGTCATATGTGCTTTCTGGACTTCAGCCCCCAGTTGCCTGGCTGTTCCTGCCATGTTGGCCCACACAGGCGACGGTCGTCACCCTCCCAGGCCCCAGATCCCTGCAAGCAGAGGACTGCGGTCCCTACAGACATGTGTGAACTAGGCTGAGGGAGGTGGCCGACCGGCAGCAGGAGCGACCTTGCAAAGCGCACCGGAATCGAAGCCTGGTTTGACACCATCATTCCCCAGTCCCTGCGACCACCCTGAGCCACTCAATTTGTATCCCCTTTTAAAAGTCTTTAAAGGCATGAAAAATACAAACTGACCGTTCTTGAGCACTGTTGTCTGAAGACCACCACTGTTCTCCAGCCAAGAGCAGTCCGGTGTGCCGCATTTTGTGAGGCAATTCTGTTTCTGATAGAATCAAAGTGGTCGCTCCGCTGTAAAATTAACCTGGCTAAGACACTCCTGGATCAGCCCTGTCCAGTAGAAAGGTAGCGCAAGTTGTAGAATTACAAACGTGACAATACCTTTGGAGTAATCATCAAATGGAAATAGAAGAAACGAGATGAAATTAATTTTTATAATATAGTTCTAACCTAAATATTATAATCATATTGGCAACCCACTTAACAATGATGGATGAGATGTTTATTTCACATTTTGTCATGCTGTCCTCAATGTGGCTGTGGCATGCACGCGACGTCACAGCACACCTGGAACTCACCGGTGTGCGGGGCGGGCAGCACGCTTGTCTGCCGCCTGCCACGGCGGTCCGGTGCAGATGAGCCGTTAATGATTTTGCTCAGTTCTTCCCAATATTTTGCTCGCGATAATAAATATATTTTAAGTATTTAATTAAAAGTTGATTAATGCTTAGATATAATAGTGCGGATGATTATGGGAATCAATATATCGGTGGAATTCAAATCAAATTCGCTGTCGACAGACTGCGTGGTCTTAGGCAGCATACTGCCGGCTTGTTTTAACATCTGAGAATTGCTATGACGTACCTGCCTTGCCGTGAGGATTGATACAGATTCGTCCTGCTTCCCACATAGCTAGTCGAACAACAATACTAAGTCATGATAATACATCATCCGTTCTCACAGAAAGGAACGATAGCCTGTCGGAAAATGAGACCAGATGATCTATCTATTGATAAGTCTGTTTGTTCGAGAAGCCATCAAAGGGAGTAAGGCAACTTTTCTAGTGTGATCTGCTTCCCCCCCCCGGGGGGTTCTTCATGCCAGTCCTTGAGTTCGGAATCTCGCTACTTAAATTTCCATTGCGTTAAATTCCAAAGTTGAAATTCAGTTGCAGAGTTTTTAAGTTTCTGTTGTGTTGCTGTTGTATTTCCATGGAAGTGTTAGCACTTTCTCTCTGCTTAAAAGTGGTAGTATCCACGTAGAAATACTATAATTCTATTTATTTAAAAGATTATATGAAATGACTGTTTGTTAACAGTTATAATATTTGTATGAATTGAAAAGACCAAGTTCCCATTTCTGAGAGCTAGAGCGGATTCCAGACATAGGAGTCTTTAAAACAGCCCAGTCATTACCCTCATTTTGCAAATGAGGGAGTCACCCTCTGCTCTTGACATGTTGCCGTTTTTCCGTATTCAGTAGATACAATATTTATATTTTTAGATAGATTTTTTTAAAAGATAGGATTGCCCAGTGCTAGATAATGTCTCTTTAAATCACTTACTCGGGAACACCTGCCGGTCCCAGTCCAGACGTCAGCGGCAGGTTGCTGGGGTCGGGCAAGAAAAGCATGAGATACCGCCCTGACACCAAGTGGCACTTGAGTCGACCGCTTTCAAGATTTCAAAATTGGATACTCGTATTGATAGACTAAACTTGGAAAGTGTTTTAGAATCATCTGAACAGTCGTTAGGAAATCAACTGAAGCGATGAAACAAATCAAAGCAAAGGGCAGTTTTGGATGAAATGTGTAGAACTCAGCAAAGTCGGGTTTCACACCAAGTCTGTCCCCCCCCCAAAGTCCTTCCTCCCCTGCCCTCCAGACTTCACGGGTCTCCCTGCTTCTGCAGGTCACCTTTCCAGGAGGGGGATGTCAAGGCTCTCGTGCCCTGGCAGACTGGCCAAGCCACAGGGAGGGTGGCCCCCTTGGCCACAGGCGGGATCTGCTCTGCCTAAGTGCAGCAAACCATTCGGGCCACTTAAAACCGCGAGACCACTCATTCCTGGCTCAGGGCGGCGAGCACGCCCAGTGCACCAGGAACTAGATTTATTGCCGTTTGCAGTTATAGAGTAAAACCCCAAGACTAGACGTTCTCATAAAAATTCTAATGGGTTCTTTGTTTGATTTCTTTTCCCCATGTATTAGAATGATCAGAAACTTGATATCGGCATTACTTCCTTTAAAGCACACATCTACTTCATTTGATTTTGAAGGCTCTAGAATGGTTTCCGAGTTTTAATGGCAAAGATACCGTCCTAAAAGAGCCGTCCATGTCATCCAGCAAAAAAAAAAAAAAAAAATTAGAATGTCATGTGAACCGACACGTGGTCACAGATGCTTAATGTTTGCTTTTAGAAGGATGGAAGGGCTGGAGGGTCTGGGAAGCTGGACACAGGCTGGCGTCAGAGAGGGCTGGTCTTGAACCCCAGCTAAGGGTGTTTGAGCCTCGTGTCTGGGGCTTCCGATCACCTTTGAGCCGACGCACAGGGCACTGACAGCGCCAGCTCCGGGGCTAAATGAGAAGGAACCTGCATGCGTGTCTGACGCCGACCGTGGCCCTTCTCAGCCGGACGCTCGGGAACGGCAGCTGCTGTCATCTGCTCTCAGCGCGAAGGTTCCTGTCCTAGTGTCACCAGTGGCGTCACCGGAGGGGAGTGGCCTCTGGGCAGGACGGTGGGGACCTGGGAAGGGGAGGGCGCTCTAGGTGGAGGCAAAGAACATATGCAGAGTCGAACACATGGAAGAATTCCATGTTTCATTTTTCCTCCCACAGAACTGCTAAAATTGGAACGAATATGGTTAGTGGGTAGAAAAAAGTTGAATTAATGTTCCAGAGGCATCATTGTCCTTTTCTTCTGTCACCCCGGTTTTCCCCATGAACCTGGAAAATGGGAAATGTCGGGAATGTCCTTCCCTGCTTGCGGCTCTTGCCTTTTGTGTCTTTAGACATCGCTTGTTTCTGGCGCAGAGCCCTGGGCGGCTCAGACAAGCACGGCCACGCTGACCTGGGGGCCTTGTTTGAGCCTTTCTATTCCCCCATACAGGAATCCAGGCAGCACCCTCAGTCCAGAACCTTCCATTGACAATGTGGTCCTGCCTGTAGGGCAGGCGGGGTCCCGGGCGGGGAGCTACTCTTGCTTTGCTGGGGGTCTTTGCACCCCGGCCGGAGACCTCGGGACCCGCTCAGGCTTCGGACAGCTGACCTCGTGCTTTCGCGTTTATTAAAGAGCAGACTGCTGGTTTAGAGGCCCTGCCCCTCTGATGAGATGCAGTGAGCGTGTCCAGCTGCAGCCCCGTCCCTGCGTGAGTTGCGGCGTGTGGACGTGTGGGTGTGAAGCCCCGTTAATGTGATGAGGATGGCGCAGGACGTAGGGAGCCCGCCACTCCCACCAAGTCGCGAGGAAGCCGTCTCAGTTCCACTGACCTCCGCCTCTTCTCTCTCCTGTGCAGGGAAGGTCACGCCCGGGCTGTAGCCGAGGACAGGCGCGCGCAGCTCCCGCCCGGACCGCGTCCGGCCCACGTTGACGTTTGAGGAATCCTGGAGTGTGGTATGTCCATTCCAACGGGACCTTACGATTTTGTTAGGAATGTGAAGTATATCACTGAAAACAAAGCAGGATGTGGTAGAACGTGGCGATGGCCGATTTAAAATGGGGCGGCTGAGTCATTTTCAACCAGTCACTTCTTGCCGTTTCGGATGTTTAGATGCTACCGTGTTGTGCCATCGTTTAGTTAATTGAACGTGCATGTTAAGTTCACCTGTCAATTATGGCTGCTTCTTATCTCTTTATCTCCTGATGAGAGCTTTGCATATGGTCCAGATATTTCACAAACCAAGTCAAGCAGAAAACTTTATCCAAAACCGTATTCATGTCTAATTTCCTCGTGTGCCGTTCGTCATATGGTGCTTCTGGACTTCAGCCCCCAGTGCTGGCTGTGTCCTCCCATGTGGCCCACACAGGGCCGGTCGTCACCCCTCCCAGGCCCCAGAGTCCCCTGCAAAGCAGAGACTGCGGTCCCTACAGACATGTGGAAACTGAGGCTGAGGGAGGTGGTCCGACCGGCCAGAGGAGCGACTTGAAAGCGTCACCCGGAATCGAAGCCCGGTTTCGACACCATCATTCCCCATTCCCTGGCGACCCACCCTGAGCCACTCATTGGTATCCCTTTTAAAAGTCTATCTCGAGGCATCATCTTATTAATTTCCACCTCTACTGGAGAGCAGAGCTGCCTTGACCGGGTGTCGGCTGAGGGTCTGGGCTGCCCTCGCCTGCCCTGGGCTTTGACACCACACTCAGCTCGTGTGACCGTCGAGTCTCTTGCCATCCAGTGGGTGGAATTGAGCAATGCCAGTCTTACAGACAAGATGAATTTAATTTCCAGCAGGACTGAGAAATAATCCCCGCTGTTGGACCCGGCATCCTGTGTTTGCTACACGGTTCATATTTAATTGTTCAGAAGTTGCGGTTTCTCAAGGCGTCACCTCTGCACTCACCTTCGCCCTGAGTGCCGAGAGCGCCAGAGTCCGCCCTCCGAATGCTGTCATTCGCACCGGCATCGCGCTGGCAGAGAGACAGGCTTTTAAAATAAACGTATTTTCTTTACATAATTAGTATTTTCCATTTTAGAAAAGAGTGAATATTATAATAATGTATAATCATAAAACATTCAAGCTTGAAAGTCCAAAACCAGGTGACCACAACCATTAAAATGATTTGTTGGTTTAACATTTTTTAGATCGAGCCAGGCCAAACTGCACATTTTGTTCCCTTCTCCTCTTTTACTTTGCGCATCACAAATATCTTTCTGCAATGATAAATAGATTCCTGCGACATTGTTTCATGGTATGTAGTATTCCCCTTATGGATATACTGAAATATACTCAACCAGCCTCTATTGTAGTTTTATAAGTTGGTTCTACAAACAAAGCTTTAATAACCATTTTTTTTTTACCTTAAACTTTTCACACAGTTTATTATTTTCTTAAGATAAAGTCATAGAATTGCTGGACCAAAGACTTTGGGTATTTTAAGATTCTCGTGAGGGGTGACTTTTTTTTTTTGAGACAGAGTCTCACTGTGTTGCCTGGGCTAGAGTGCCGTGGCATCAGCCTCACTCACAGCAACCTCAAACTCCTGGGCTCAAGCGATCCTCCTGCCTCAGCCTCCCGAGTAGCTGGGACGACAGGCATGCGCCACCATGCCCGGCTAATTTTTTCTATATATATTAGTTGGCCAATTAATTTCTTTCTATTTATAGTAGAGACGGGGGTCTCACTCTTGCTCAGGCTGGTTTCGAACTCCTGACCTCAAGCAATCTGCCCGCCTCGGCCTCCCAGAGTGCTGGGATTATAGGCGTGAGCCACCACGCCCGGCCAGGGGTGATACTTTTAAACTGCTTCTCCACTGTACGTATGGTCACGTCTGACCCTGCACACAGCTGACCGTCTACTGTGTGAATCGCCTGCCATCCCACGGGCAATTCTTATGAATTTGACTTTGAGGAAAACTAACCTCATGGCATGAATGTAGTTTTTTAAAGGCTAAAAATGCATTTCAATACCTATTCCGAATTCCCAGGAACTCAGCTAAAACTCTCACACTTCTGTTCTCTTGTTCCTGTGTCAAATCAGCATGTGAAACGCCTGCTGTGTGCGATGCGTGTGCTAGACCGTGGAGTGAATGCAGGACACGCCCCATGCTTTCCAGAAGTTTCTCCTTGAGCGGTAGAATCCACACTCAGTCCCTGATACGCAGTATGAAGAGCACTCCAGAACTTTGCTTTAAAACGTGATCTCGGCATAAGCGGTTCACTCTAGTGACCGTGATTGTCCTTAGTGGAAGGCTCACGGCCGGCCACCACTTTAGGAAGGTGGCCCTGTGTTCGCTGCGCCACGCTGCAGAGCACGCTGTGGGCACACGACCGCCCTGGTGTCATCCACCCTGAACAGGAACCTTCTTGTCACCCTCTCGAGTGTTCCCGGCGACGAACGCCTGGTACCCAGCACGCGACATGGTCCGTCCCGTGGCCGGGCTGTGCTCACAGACCAGGGAGATTCTCTTTGCCGATAGGCACCTGTGCTTTCTACTTTTAGAGAGATAGGAAAAGTCCAAGTCAATTCAACTTAATGGATATATTTTAAGACCTATTGTGTTCAGGACCTGTTCTAGGTGCTGTGGGCTAATTTCCATTTCATATGGCAGTATTTTAATATTCGATGATAGTTTTCACGTTTTTTTCTGACATGTACAAGTTAACTAGTTGACCCCATTCCACGTGATCGAACCCGTGCCGTGTTAAACTTGCTAAATTTCTGTAGGGCCATGCGTTTTGCCTCAGTTCTTGACACACACGTGAGCTAGTTGGAGAGACTCTCACGGGTGACCAGGGGGGCCCGGGGCATCTGCCGCCTGCCACCTTTGTAGAGATCACCACACGCCACGTTACAAAGAAAAAGGAAAGTCATGTATCCCAAACTATTAGCAGTTGTGACGTGAGAAGACGTGCGTGGTTGTGTGAATCTGCTGTCAAAGACAAACCTGAAATGAGAGCTGGGGACCGGGGTGGGGTCCTGCGGCCGCGCTGGCCTGGCCACTCCGGCCGGTGACTGCATCAGCGGGTGACGGGCCAGGCAGTCTCCCAGGGGACTTCCACGGCCTGCACAGTTTCAGGGCAGAATTCTAGGCTCGGGATTCTGGGCTTCAGAGGACGCAGCTCTGGATGCCTCCTGGCGCGTGGGTCTGCGTGCCGGGCGGCCCCTCTCCGCCTCCCACCGGTGCCTGACGCTGCACGGCACACGCGTGGCGGCCCCTCTCCGCCTCCCGCCAGTACCTGACGCTGCACGGCACACGCGTGGCGGCCCCTCGCACGCTGGGGCCCCGAGGCTGCACTCTACCAGGCTGGCGTGTGTGGACCGACGCACTCCTCGAGATGCCGCCGAGGTAGACGCTCCCACCGTCACCCCCGTTTCAAACAGGAGGCGCCGAGGCGGAGAGCGACGTAGGGTGGACAGGAGCAAGGCGCTCAGCCCGCTGCGCAAGGTGCGGGAGCCCGAGCCCCTGAGGTCCGCGCTGCTCCGGGCGGGCGGGCGGGCGGGGGGACAGCTTCGCTCCCCCACAGGTTAAGCTCCCAGTGGTTGCTGCGGTTGAGGTTGCTTCGCTTGGTTGTCTCAGAAATAAATGCCCACTACCAAGGCGGCCTTGATGTGAAAAAAAAAAAAAAAATACAACAGCGAATCACCAATGCATCACCCTGTGAGCCATTCAGCCACAGGTACATAGTGTCTATCCAGTGTTTTCCTGGTGGTTTTACTAAAAATGACCAAATCTGACGTCGTGTGAGCATTGAGTGCTACATGCTTAAAATCCTCCTTATATGCAGAGAAACTTGGAAAATGTAACTTTTTTTTTTTTTTTACTTTAGTTCATGCATGGTTTTAGTTGTCCGTGCATGTTTTCTTGCTTTTTATTTGAAGTTCCCTGACTCGTATTCATTGTTTATTTCCTCATCTCCCCCTTTTCGGATGCCTATTTTTACTGCGTGGTGTATCTTCTCTATCTCGAATGCCACACAGTTTTCCCTGTGGAAGCTCCTGTTCTGTGCTCCTCTTACTCGCGCCTGTCTCTGCTACGTGCCTGTTTGGCTGCTCCGATGAGTACATCGCCTAAGCGCAGCCTGTCGACAGCTCCTCGCGGTTCGCGTTCTCTGATTAGAGGAAGGAAGCGAAAGGAAATATCAGTGTCTAATGTCTGCCTACTTGAGATTGTGAATAAAACACCCCCATAAACACAGAAAGCCAAAAAGGAAACACAATGATGAAGGTTTCACTCAGCCCGACACCAACCAGCCGACAAACTTGGCGGTGAAATTGAACCGAGAAGGGAGCCGCCGCGGGGAACAGGTGTTGGCTGAGGTTTCGGGAATAGCTGTTTTTCCCTCCCTCCCTCTTTCCTCTCTTCCTTCCTTCTCTCCCACCTCTCTCTCCCCCCGCTTTCCCTCCCTCCCGGCCTCCTCCTCCCGTTCCCACTGCTTTGTGTGCAGTGGCTGAATCGTGACGCTAACTTGCAAGGTGCAAGAAGACATTGTTTCCCGCCACCCTTTGGACTCTCGTGAGGCTCAGGAGTAGCCTTGAGACCTGGGCAAGTAAATACCATCAGCCTGTATAAAATCCCCAACCGTAAAACCAGGGAGGGGCGGTTTGTCATCTGTGCCCAGAAACCCATAGTGGCCATACATTGTCATGACTGTTAAGCCCCTAAAAATAGTAAATGGCGGGAGAGGCCTGAAGGCAGATGTCTGTTCAGGGGATCTCTTATTTGGAGTGTCACTGGCCCAGGGCGAAAGATGACAGCTGAGATGACACCCACAGAGCCTTGCAATGACGCCTGCGTCATAGAGACAGGCTCAGGACTCGGGGGTGGGGCACAGCCAGCCTTGGGGGAGCCCCGGCCCTGGTGCACCTGCTTCCCGGGGCTGGGCGGGTCAAATGAGAAGCAGAGAGAGGCCCTGGCCATGGGTACGACCCTAGTCTGCATTAGTCCTGCCTTTA